ACTTGCGAAAAAAACCTTCGTTTCATAACTCAGAGAGTAAATGTTCTTGAACAGTGTGCTTGAAGCTCTTGACTTGTTTAACCACTTTATTGGCAAGCTTTCGGCATATAATGCCTTCGTCAGGCCTTAAATTACAATTTCAAACATATAATAGCTACAACGAGCAATGCGTAAAACCTTACATACCAGGGCGGAGGATGGGTGTAGGACTTTCTTAAAAGATCTCACTTCACACCTATCATGCCTCTCGGGGAGACTCGCCTGCGGTGTTGCCTGACTTAATTGCTCTCTCACTAACTCCTGACCTTTCCTCTACTTGACGATTACATCATGATGACTGATTATTTACTGCTAATTTTTGAGGCAAATCTAATTAATTAAAAGACTACAAATGAAAAATTTGAAATCACCATGCAAACAGTCAAAAATTGAAAAGCATTTTGCTGAAAATGGAATCAAAGTTAAAACAAAAAATTGAAAATTAAATTGATTTGAATCAAATTGGCTAGATGGCAAAACGTTAGTAACAAATCTAGACATTTTTCTACAATATTCTTCCGCTTCGTAAACCTCGTAGTGTTTGGTCCCATACATGCAATAAAAAGTGAACGAATGACTGGTGCCTACAATCCTGTAAATTATTACATCTCGTTTTCCATATTTGCTTACCTGTCGTTCGCCCATGTATTGCTTGTGTTTCTGCTGGTGCTGAAAGAAATCTGAAGATTGCTGACCAGGGAAGGTCAAACAGGTTGCCATGGCCATTCAAGATGAGATGCATATCGACGTGGGGGGGGGGGGTGGTAGATAACGTTGCTCATAATCGCGTCTATTTCATGCATGTACTGTTCGCCGCTTATACACAAACAACAGTGCTAAAGATTTCCTTAACAGCTCGCTTAGTCACTGATTAGCGACAACCTTTATATCAGGTGTGACGTTGGTGAAAGAGGTGCCTAACAGTTAAAAGTACTGACGGTCATATTTAACAAAATTAACCTCCCTATAGGTTCATTAGAGTACAATTACAGCGAGTTCTCGGCGCAGAACACATCCAACGTTCAAGTAATTACAGAGCCTAGAAGTATAAATCTTTTCGGATACCTTCCATGATGAAAACTATAAGATTTTTTCAATAGCTGCCCTTTTTCCCATTTATTTTTTTTTGTAATTTCATGTTTCGTCACGTCTGCATTTCAATTGATCTAAGTGGTTAAATATGTTCTTGACATTTTTTTAAATTTGTGAAAACATCTTTTTTCCTGACATTCCCTACGTCTACTTTTATTTTTTCTTCTAATTTCCATGTTCAGTTTGGCTCAGTCGTGTCTGTAGAGGAGAGGTCAGGAGTTAGTGAGAGAGCAATTAAGTCAGGCAACACCGCAGGCGAGTCTCCCCGAGAGGCATGATAGGTGTGAAGTGAGATCTTTTAAGAACACCACACACCCATTACCAGGCCTTGAGAGGGACGGACCTATCGGCGGGGGGTTCAGGGCAATAAGTGACCCGCACTATGACAATGAGACAAATGGGTGGCGGTGATTATGCGATGAGTCTCAGAAGGTCACGTAGCTCCTCTTTTGCATTGATCTCTGGCTTGAGGCGGTGTATCTCCCGAGCTTCCATTATTTTCCTCTGGAGCGGCCGTACCAAATGGCGATGCAACACACTCACATCAAAAGACGGAGCGGTCTCATTTGGGTGTCTAAGCGTACGGTGCCTTGAGAAGCTACTTCGTGGGTAAGCTGCGGGGTTGTTCAACGCTCTTCTATGCTCGTCCAGACGATTCCTCAAAGGTCGCGCGGTCTCCCCCACGTACGTTTCTCCACATCCTCTGCATTGAATGAGATAAACAGTGCCTTGAAGTTCACAAATCTTTTCGGATGAACAGTACCGGCAAGATTCATCGCGGCACCGATTTTCATAAATTCTTGAGGACGTGAGGAGGGTTTTCAGGGTTGGGGGAGGACGAAAAACGAGACGAATGGGGAGCTGGGAGTTCTTCACGACGCGGTTCACCTGACGTGCCATTTTGTCGTTAACAAAAGGCATCATTAAGGTTATTCCATCAGGTGACGTATGTGGGTACCAGGTCCTGGAAGGCACTTCGACATATCCGTTGCTTTCAAGGATGTTCTGGACCTTCGCGTCCACATCTGAATCCCTACGCGTCCCAAGCTTCCGAAGCAAAAGGGAGTGAAGAAATTACTGCAAGCAAGAAGAACATTGAGGTACACGGTCGGAGATAAATGCGGTTCATTTGTCGTAATGCCTCAAACGATGGATAAGGCCCTCACCACCCAAGTGCTCTCTGATAGAACTGTTTATGAAGAGAGTACCTTGTCAGCATTTGATGCAATCTGCAGACGAGTGAAGAATGCTATCATGTCAACCGTGAAAGGGCGTACGAGTTCGGAAATGGCGAAACGGCTGCATGGTTCGGTTCCAATTGTGCCAACGCTCTATAATCTGGTGAAGACACATAAACTACCATCAACGCAAGACACAATGTCGCTCCCGTTAAGCGCAATCAAGACAAGACCAATTATTGCATCATGTGGTGGTCCAGCGGACAGGCTAAGTTGGCCTTCTTAAGTTTTTTTTTTTACAACTTCTTTCACCACTGTTGCAATACGTGGGAGCACACATTGTGAACGTTGATGAATTCATCTCGTCTCTTCACCAGTGTCCCATCCAGACGACAGCCTTCTACGCAAGCTTCGATGTAGTTGCCTTATATACGAATGTGAATAATGCGGATGCAGTGCAAGCTGTCTTATCCCTTCTTGAAGAGCACCAAGATCACGTCTCTACAATGGGATTCTCCGCATACGAAATAAAGGAACTCATTGAAGTTGCGCTGGAATGCAACATTTTCTGCTTCGACAACAAGATCTACAAGCAGAAACGAGGCTTAGCCATGGGTAATCGAATAGCACCCGTGTTAGCAGTCATCTTCTTGGACCACATTGAGAGGTCATCATTGTCAAGTGGAATATTGTTTTATAAACGTTACATTGATGACGTGTTTGTTATTGGAAGAACGGAAGACGATCTTGTGGAAACCTTGGAGAGACTGAATTCACACGACAGGAACATAACCTTCACCAGAGAAGATCCAGGGAGGGACGGCTTTTTGCCGTTTCTCAATACGAAAGTTCGGATAAGTGAAGGTCGAAAGGAACACCTGTGGTATAAGAAAGAAGCCTCGTCGAATATACTGTTGCATTCCAGAAGTGCACACCCGATATATATGAAGGCAAACGTCGTGCGCAACTTGGTCAGAACAAAGGAGAAGCTTGGGACGCGTAGGGATTCAGATGTGGACGCGAAGGTCCAGAACATCCTTGAAAGCAACGGATATGTCGAAGTGCCTTTCAGGACCTGGTACCCACATACGTCACCTGATGGAATAACCTTAATGATGCCTTTCGTTAACGACAAAATGGCACGTCAGGTGAACCGCGTCGTGAAGAACTCCCAGCTCCCCATTCGTCTCGTTTTTCGTCCTCCCCCAACCCTGAAAACCCTCCTCACGTCCTCAAGAATTTATGAAAATCGGTGCCGCGATGAATCTTGCCGGTTTTTTTTTTTTTTTTTTTTTTTTTTTTTTTTTTTTTTTTTTTTTTTTTTTTTTTTTTTTTTTTTTTTTTTTTTTTTTTTTTT